TTCAAGAAACGAAATTATTTCGCGAGGAATATGTAATTTAATTACATGAGAACGATAATGTTTTATACATGATCAAAAAGCATACCGAGAAGCCTATTCATTTATTTGTATTTCAAACAGAAACGTGAACCTTAATCGCTCAGTATCGATATATCTGACGCGCAAGAGCGCGCATCAATTTTAATTAGATCGACAGAGTGTTCGTGTTCTGATTTACTTCTTACGGATGGAAACGCACCGGAGTCGCTCTTACAATTTATGTAACAGAATAATAGAACGTAAGAAATGCTCCACACACGTGAACAAGATGTTGAAACATTCGCCGACACGAGACGTGACACATTTTGAAATACGGAGAGCGCCGCGCGATGGGTGTCGTGCCACACGAGTCGAGCAACGCTTTATCTCGCTTTCCGCTGTTCGGTTTCTTTCTTCGTCCTCCTTTCTGCTCGCACTAATAAGCTCGATCAGAGTCGAGAAAAAAGGTACAAGGGATGAGGGTATCGCATACTATCCAGATTAACATACACGGCCGGCCGAGTTTGTAATGCAATGCGACGGTTGTAACATTCATCCACCGTGTATGAATTTTCAGCTTCTACCGTATTATGTATGCGAAAGCAACCTTGTTGCCATCGATTTGTTTTTTCACGCTAAACGAAAATTGTTCCATTGAGAATTGCTAATTGAACGATGTGGGACATTGTTTGATCGTGCTACATTAATTGCATTTTAGTCCTTTCGTACAAAATTATATAAATATATTATATATATTATATATATATATTATAATATATTATACATATATTATATATATATTATAATATATTATACATATATTATATTATATATATTATAATATATTATATTATATTATATATATTATAATATAATATATTATAATATAATAACCTTGTTGCCATCGATTTGTTTTTTCACGCTAAACGAAAATTGTTCCATTGAGAATTGCTAATTGAACGATGTGGGACATTGTTTGATCGTGCTACATTAATTGCATTTTAGTCCTTTCGTACAAAATTATATAAATATATTATATATATTATATATATATATTATAATATATTATACATATATTATATATATATTATAATATA